GTACGTCAATTTATTTTTAATATCATTTTATTCGTGTTAATTTAGTGCATGGTGTGTAGAATATTTATATTCGAAGCATTTGAGAGCTGCACAAGGAAAACCTATAAGTAAAATTTTATTCGTTAAAATATTGTACGATTTTGACAAATCAAATTTCAAGATCAGCCTGATCTTTGGTCAAACTTGTACAATATTTTAACCAAAGTAACTGAAACAATCAAAGATACTGATGATGATATTGAAGAGCATTGGTCATATGTAATTAAGAATTGGATTGATATGTTAGATATTGAGAATCATTTAGAGAGTGGGGAAATTGTAAATGAGAAAGTAATTGAATTTGAATTTGAATTTGGTAGGCATATGATTCATCTAGCAGATGATCTATTGGCAAAATGAGAATTATCAAAATTATTTGATGCTTCATTGGAAGCACCTATTTCTTTTACTTTTAATGAATAACCTCTGATAATAGCAAATTATAACAATGAATTTCTGAATGTGATGTAATAAATACCCGAAGAATGGTTTGAAAAGGCTACTTCTGATAGGCATTTTAATTACCTTGAATAGAATAAATTTACAACTCTTATTGTGATTGGCAGTAAAAAGTTTTGGCAAGGTTTCAAATACAAATGGAAAGATAGTGAATTACATATCATTATAATCATCCCAAATAAAAAAAAGTTAGTAATGTAGCTAGCAATAAAAAGATAATTTTATTATTCATTAACTTATTTTTCACAATCATTTATAAATTAGATATTCTGGTTCAAAATTTTATCATATCAATTATAAGAATTCAAATAAACAGAAGCGATTATTCAAATTTGTGGATTATTCTGATATAGTTAAACAATTGATAAATTATTTTTTTTATACATTTTACAATACTTATTTTAAAAGCCCAGGTAGCTTAACTTTTTATGAAATGAGGATAAATTTAATGGATAAATTAATGCCTTTGCTTTGCCTTACAACATATTCTTTGAATCCTGTGAATCGAGTCGATTTTGTTTGATTTGTTTTATCGTGTATTGAAGAATTTTTGCCTGAGTTTTTTAATTTCTTCAACTTGTTTGTATAATTCTGTTTTTTCATTTTCTAGATCTCTATAAAATAGAACTAGCTTATCTACTAACGCTTTAGCAGTTGGTCTGCTTTGGGGTTCAGCATCTAAGCATTTATTCATCAAATCCAAAAGTAATTGTGGA